CCCCTCCCCCCCGCCCCCCGGGCCCCCCCCCCCCCCCCCGAGGCTGTGAGAGCGGCCGTGGCCGTTCCTTGGACCTCAGACCATTGCCTAACAGTAACATCCACCCAGAAACGCTTACCGAACGCACCCTGTCTGCTGAGCTGTAGTTTGTATGCAGAATCAGACGTGGTCCCTGCCGTAATGGAACCAGCAGTTCCCGGGGGGAGACGGGTGAATTAATTACAGAATAAATAGAGAACCACCACTATGAAGGCGGAGAAGAAACAGTCTGGAAAACTATTGCAGGAGGCGCCGTTTGGTTTGGGGCGGGGGGCCGAGGCAGGTAGGGATGGCGTCAGTGGGAGACTTCCCTGAGTATGTGAATGTTGGAGCTGCAACTTAAAGATAGAGTATTATTTTATGGGCGAGGAGCCATCTTTAAAGGTTAAAAATGATCTCTGGGTTCTGAAAGTCCACCAAACCTGCACTAGCCACATGGTCCCTTCTGCATGGCTCAGTCATTGATGCATGTAGTCGTTTATTCCGGGAATCTTTAAATGTGTGCTAGGCGCTGTGGGGTGAGCGGTGGACACAACAGGCCTGGTCTCTGCCCTGATGGGCCTGATAGTGAGGATATTTCAGTGACGTCTCCAAACTCCTTTTCCATTGACGGAAGACAGTGATCACAGATTGGCAGGAGATGACTCCAATACAGGGTTTTGAAGAAGGCTACCCCTAAAAATTTTTGTAAGTTTTCTTTATTAATGATAATGATTTGGTACTTTATTTTGGGTTCAGCACACAATTGTGCTTTACTAGGTATTACAAAAAGGTTGGTTCATCTGAGCATAATCACTGTCAAACCTCCTTGAAGGGGTTGCTCTCATTAAATTGCTTTAGAAGTGAATAATTTCCCTAGGACAGCCCAGCGTTTCTGAATTGATTGCACTGGGTGTTGACTGACTGTCTGCTGGGCACTGCAGGAGCCCCGGAAGTGAGTGAGATGGACACGGCAACGGCGTCGTCAGGAAAGCAGCAGAGAAAAGGGAAACCTATCGGTGGATACATTAAGAGTGGAAAAGAGCCTGTTTTATATTATCAGGTATTAATCATTCATGTGTTCTTTAGCCGGGGAAATGTCCGATGAGGAGATCAAAGAGAAGACACTAGCTTCAGCTGTAGCCTGTTTAGAAGGGAAGTCACCAGGGGAGAAAGCAGCAATCATACATCAGCATCTTGGCCGTCGAGAAATGACAGACGTGATCATTGAGACCATGAAGTCCAACCCAGGTATGCTTTCTAAAACCCTAGACTCCTTTGTAACGCAAACCTCTGGTTGCCTGTTTACACATGTTGGTCAGTGAGCCCGTGCTTTTTAGCATACTTTTATCTTTCACTGACTGTGTGCCTTACATGAGATTGCCAAGGCACATTTCAACTTCCCCAAATATTTCTTCTAAATTAATCCTAACAATCTGGGTTGACAACTCTATTCGGTGAGGAGAGCTACTTACCACCTAGGTCAGTGGCAGATCATGAATGAATCCAAATAAGCATGTTGTGTCTCTCCCTGCTCTGCCAGCTCACTCCAGCCAGGGGAGTGGATGAGTGGGTGTATACTACATCTCCAGCATGGAGGTGGTTAGAACTGGTAGGGTTGGTTTTCAAACTTAATAGCTCTGAATGTTTGTCCTATTTAAAAGTGCATGATGTAAGGCACCTGGTTTTATTATGATATTAACAAACTAGAGGCCCAGTATACGAATTCATGCACATCGAAAAGAAATTAATTAGGAGAAATATTTTAGAGGCTGGGGAGGGACTGTGGGAGGGCTCCAGGGCGTGTCTGGCCCCTCTCGCCCAGTTCTGATCAGGGACAGGCTGGACCACAGCAGCAAGCTAACCTACTGGTCAGCATCTGCCCCCTGGTGGTCAGTGCGCATCATAGAGACTGGTTGAGCGGTTGACCAAACAGGTGGACACTTAGCATATTGGGCTTTTATATATATACTAGAGGTCCAATGCACAAAAATTTGTGCAAGAGTAGGCCTTCCTTCCCCTGGCTGCTGGCACCGGCTTCCCTCTGGCACCTGGGACCTGATCTTCCCTCCTCTTGCCACCAGCAGGCACCCAGGACCCGGGCTGCTTCCCTCCGGCCCCGGCTTCATCAGGAAGGACATCCGGTCTAATTAGCATATTACCCTTTTATTATTATAGATAGATAGATGTAAGAGTCACCTTGAGGGCGATAATGGGATTTTTATGGAGGAAAGAGCACTTTCAAATTGAGATGCCCCCAAAACATGGCTGTTCTGTGAATGTAGTTCTTAATACATGACAATTTCTCTGTCAGAGTTCATTATTCTGACTCAAAATTTTAATCTAATTAGAATCCTTCGGCATATTTCCTATCATTTTATAATCTGCTAATTTTTGATTTGTGAAAGATGACCTGAAAGCTTCAATGGAAGAAAGAAAGTCTTCAGAAGCATCCCCCACTGCACAGAAAAGTAAAGATCAAAGTAAAGAAAGTGTAAATACTGCTCCCGATTCTCCATCCAAACAGCTTCCAGACCAGATTTCATTCTTCAGTGGAAATCCATCAGTTGAAATAGTTCATGGTATTATGCATCTATATAAGACAAAGTAAGAAAAACCTTTTTCCTTTTGAGTTGGTCTATTTTTTGCCTTAGGGAGGAGAAAAATCTTTTACCCTGAAGGGAAGTGTGTATTTTAAGCTTCAAAAACATAGTACTTTCATATATTGTGTGTTAGAGAATTCTTAAATGTTTTACATTTGGTTGATCTTGTAGATTGGGTCAGAGCTTCTCCTTATAAAAGAAACGTGTAAATAGCCTTCCTAGGAAGATACTCCCTGAGAAGGTAGGCATGCAAGATGATTGGTAAAGGGAAAGGAAAGAAGATAGCAAAGGAAAATTACAAATGATCCATAACATCACAGTAGTCTCATATCCCCACCAAATCTTTATGAAAGAAACTAAGAAATCAGGTAATGGGTAGCAATTTCATCACCTCTTTTTACCCTTTTCTGTGGTCCAAGCAGTAGGCTTGCAGGAGGCCAACAGAAAGGAAGCGTTTGCCTAAATCTATGAGCTGGGCCATCAACTTCTGGGATAATTAGTAATTGATTTCTTTAAAGGCTGTCCTTATCCTAACTCGGATGCTAAGTTCCTACAGGGAAATAGTGAATACTCAGAATATTCAGGTAGCCATGTGGAATCAGAGCTGTTGAAGTGAGTTTGCACCATTTCAAAAAGGCTAGGGAGAATCCTCCCCACCCCCATTCCAGCTATTACAACCCAGCAACACTTTCTGTAATCTTCAGAGTCACATCTTCATGGTTCAGAATTCTCTATCTTATATTTAGAGCTCTTTTATCTTCTAGACCCTTAAGAGAAGTCCAGAGTTAGCATTGTGCTTCCAAGTTACACAATGAGAGATTTTTTAATATATATTTTTATTTATTTCAGAGAGGAAGGAGGAAGGAGAGAGATATGATGAGAGAGCATCATTGATTGGTTGCCCCCTGCATGCCTCACTCTGGGGATCGAGCCCGCAACCGGGGCAGGTGCCCTAACTGGGAGAACCCGTAACCTCCTGGTTCATAGGTCAGTGCTCAATCACTGAGCCATACCAGCTGGGTGAGAGATTATTATTTAAAAAACTAAACAAGAACAACTAACGAAAATAAAACAACAAACTGCAAATTTGCCGAATGCAGATTTGTAACCATAACAAGCTTTTAACTAAAGATTAAAAATTTCACTGGTGTGTATAATGTAGAACATTACGAAGCTTACCTTAAACTCCATGGCAGATATATTTAAGGGATTCTGCATTTACCTATGTAGTATGGATTTTCAAATAAAATAATAAGCTGTTTAATTGATATGTGAAGTATTACATGTTTTATTTTTCCTATTGGACGTAAAAGTTGTCTAATTAGTGTTGTGTGAACTAACTATACGTCTATTCAAGACAGTCTAATTATTGTCTTATTAGTAAGATGACCTCCTTAAAAGAAGATGTGAGGCGCAGTGCCATGCTGTGTATTCTCACAGTCCCTGCTACAATGACCAGTCATGACCTTATGAAGTTTGTCGCCCCATTTAATGAAGTAATTGAACAAATGAAAATCATCAGAGACTCTACTCCAAATCAATATATGGTGCTGATAAAGTTTAGTGCACAGGTAAAAGTTAAGATATTAAAAATCTCTTTGCCACAGAAACTGTGTTTTTGAAATTGTATAATACTAGCTGTGTGTGGTTTACAGCATTTTGCACTTAAGATTCATAACTTATCTTCTAGGGTATTGTAATTCTAGAATTACTTCTAAATTAATTAGCAGACACTGAATTTTCTAATTCATACCCATACTTTGTTATAAATCAGATTTGGTATGAAATCTAGGGTTGTTTTTTGTTTTTTTTATCCAATAGTAACTATTCCAGTAGAACAATAGTTTCCAAACTTTTAAAAGTTGACAGCAATTATTAATTTGCCATTATAACACTTTTGCCCCTGCTTCTTTCATGCTCTTTTTAAAAGACCTTCTTTGGCACATTTTAGAAAATAAGATCTCTCTCTCTCTCTTTTTAAAATTTTAGTGACGAGGGATTTTTGTGACATTCCTTGACGTATTAAAGATGCTCTAGAATTCTGATTGGAAATAGAGAATAGAGAAACAAACACTGAAAGAGTGGTGATATTTTCAGTTTTTAAAAGCACTTGTGCATTATAACTCATACTTTACCTGTCTCAGTTCTAAAGATGTTAGAAAGATATTCTTGGGAGTATGCATATTTGTTTATGCATATAAAAATGAGGTAAGCTTTAGGTGTTATACAGGTTATTAAAGAGCTACCTTATCTGTAGGTTTCATTCAATCTGTGTGGTTTTTTTAATAGCCTCTTATATTTGTCTATTCATTGGTTTTGAAATGCGGCTTTGTCAAAAATTACTTCAGTCTCACCTCATTTGCAGATTGGCAAAGATGGGTGTTCCTGTAGGGTCATTTGCTTTTGTCTCTGACTGGTCACTGAGATTGGTGGGTGAAAAGGAGGCCATGACACAAGATCCACTAGGCATTTCCTTCTTCTTCGTTATAGAAAATCCAATGTTGACAGCAGTATCAGCCATTCATTGTTCATGGGAAGGAAGTTAAGAGAAGTGAGTTATATGTTCCATGGCCCACAGAAAGACAACACTTAGAATGGAGTTCTGTGTACAAGAGGGTGCACAATTGTTATCTTTAACCTTCCAAAGCACCCTATCATTGAACAAGACATTCAAAAGAAATGTTTCAACTGTCCTACAAGTTGAGAATGGAAAAGCACTTAAACAACTGCTTTCATTGTCAAGAGACCTGAGGTCACTGAAGGGTTTTGCAATAAATGGGCAAGTGGTATGTTAAACCTTTTAAACCTGGTAAAGATAATATAAACTACTTGTTCTGTACCATTCACAGTGCTAAATGCTTAATGTGAGTTATCTCATTTCATCCTCACTAGAAACCCTGTGAGGTAGATAAGTACTGTTGTTATCCTTGTTTTACAAAATGAAAAAATTAGCTGCTGAGAGAGGTTGGGAATTTGCCCAGGGTTACATAGCTGGATGTAAGTGACTGAGCTGGGGATTGACCCCTCACTTTTAATCCCTAGGGCAGTGATGGCAAACCTTTTGAGCTCGGTGTGTCGGCATTTTGAAAAACCCTAACTTAACTCTGGTGCCGTGTCACATATAGAAATTTTTTGATATTTGCAACAATAGTAAAACAAAGACTTATATTTTTGATATTTATTTTATATATTTAAATGCCATTTAACAAAGAAAAATCAACCAAAAAAATGAGTTCGCGTGTCATAGGTTCGCCATCACTGCCCTAGGGTGTACCCGTCTTACCATAGGAGTGGTATGAAAGTGTGGGAAAGGGGAGACAGTCACTGCCTGCAAGAAATTGTGTAATGGCAGTAATTTAGTTACTGCTTCTACTTAACAAAGCCGATCAGAAAAAGGAAAAATCACAGAAACAGATTGGAGAAAATGTTTAAGAACATACTAGATTTGTTTGTCTGAAGTCTAATAAACCCACAAATTTTCCTGTAACAAGTGCTTCATAGTGTGCAGATAATGCTGTGGGAATTTGCCATTACTGTTAATACATTTTCTTTGTACTCACGCACTGGCTCTCTACCTCTGTCTTTTGATCAAGTGCAGGTTGCTCAAGTTGATGAATGTTTTCTAAAACTTTGAAACAGCTTACTGCATGCTCTTCCCCATGGGGACGGAACCCTTGACTTTGGTGTCATGAGTTGTATTATCGTTAATGCTGGATCTTAGGGTCAGAGGCTCATCCTATCAGGGACTTTCTAAGGCCTACAAACACCCTCCTAGTATAAGACTTGATGTTATTAAATTAATATTGGGCCCTAATGAAAATAATAGACTCAGTAGTTATCACATGTTGAACACTTGCTTAGATAGATGCCAGGCCTGTGCTAAGTGCTTTTCATGCTCCTTGAGTCCTCTCAATAATGCCATGAAGTAGATGTTGTTATGTTACTTATGTAATTGTGGGAACAAGGGTGAATAAGTCCCTTGCCCAAAGCTACACAGCTAATAGTTGTCAGAGTTGGGAATTGAAGCCCAGGCAGCCTGACTCCATAGCCTGGGCAGCTAACTATATATATATATATTTTTGTTTTAAAAAAATATGTTTTGCCCTAACCGGTTTGGCTCAGTGGATAGAGCATGGGCCTGCGAACTCAAGGGTCCCCGGTTCGATTCTGGTCAAGGGCATGTACCTTGGTTGCGGGCACATCCTCAGTGGGGAGTTTGCAGGAGACAGCTGATCGATGTTTCTCTCTCATCGATGTTTCTAACTCTCTATCCCTCTCCCTTCCTCTCTGTAAAAAATCAATAAAATATATTTTTTAAAAAATATGTTTTTATTGATTTCAGAGAGGAAGGAAGAGAAAAAGAGAGATAGAAACATCAATGATGAGAGAGAATCATCGATTGGCTGCCTCCTGCATGCCCCCATTGAGGATTGAGTCTGTGATCCGGGCATGTGCCCTGATCAGGAATTGAACCATGACCTCCTGGTTCATAGGTCCACACTCAACCACTAAACCACACCGGCCGGGCTATATTCTTACTCCTTTTTCTCACTAGAGAATTTTTATTGAGAAATAATGGACCACCCTAGCCGGTTTGGCTCAGTGGATGGAGTATTGGCCTGTGGACTGAAGGGTCCCGGGTTCGATTCTGGTCAAGGGCACATGCCTGGGTTGTGGGCTCAATCCCCAGTGGGGAGCGTGCAGGAGGCAGCCAATCTATGATTCTGTCTCATCATTGATGTTTCTATCTCTCTCTCCCTCTTCTTTCCTCTCTGAAATCAATAAAAAAGAAAAAAATAATGGACCTTCTCTATATCTTTTATAACCTCATGAATTTCTTTTGGCCTCGGCTTTATGCTGGAGGTATTATAAAGAGACTAGAGACGTGTTGCACAAAATTTGTGCACTTCGCGGGGGGGTGTCCCTCAGCCTGGCCTGTGCCCTCTCGAAGTCCAGGAGCCCTTGGGGGATGTCCGACTGATGGCTTAGGCTGCAGTCAGACATCCCTAACCCTGCCATGGAGGCGGGAGAGGCTCCTGCCAATACCACTGTGCTCACCAGCCATGAGCCCGGCTTCTGGTGCACTCACCACCAGGAGGCAGCTCCTGCGTTGAGCATCTGCCCCCTGTGAGTCAGTGCACTTCATAGCGACCAGTCATTCTGCCGTTTGGTCTGTTTGCATATTAGCCTTTTATTATATAGGATGGGCTCACAAAGTTTACTATGACCTTTAGGAAATTTAGTCTTTAGTTAAAGAATTTGTAATTCATCAGGACACAGGAAAGCAGGAGGTTCAATTTCATATTTCTTGGGAACAAAACTTTTGAGAGGATAGTGTATGTTGGCTCGTTTTCACTTGCATGCTTAGGGCAACCTTGAAGACCCCTCTTTTTTTTAAGTATATTTTATTGAATTCAGAGAGGAAGGGAAAGGGAGAGAGAGATAGAAACATCAGTGATGAAAATCATTGATCGTCTGCCTTCAGACTGGGGATCAAGCCCACAACCCGGGCAGGTGCCCTGATGGGGAATCCAACCGTGACTTCGTGGTTCATGGGTCTACACTTAACCACTGAGCAACCGTGGCCCAGCAAGACCCCTCTTTTGAGAAGTAAAAATACGTTCTCAATACTATAGTGACCATCATGATAATAAAGGAACCTTGATCATGATGGATTTTTCTTTTTCTCAAATTTATCCTGAGACAGGAACAGTAGGAACAAGGACTAGGGAAAAACAAAAGCTGGTTTCTTTAAATTTTGGGCTCTATACAGTGCAAACATTTTAAATAAAAGAGTTGTTTATTTTGCGAATTTTGCAGTTAGCTTCATGCTTTTGTGCACTTCAGTCGTGGGTTGAAGTGGGAACCATGTGTATTTTGTTTTCTACTCTTGTCCTAGTGCATAGCACAGTGCCTGACATATGCTAGGTACTCAGTAAATATTTGAAAAAGTGAAGTTCCATTTCCAATACCAAGATTTTAAAGAAGAGATCAGTGTGTTCAAAAAATACATTTCTTCGGTATAAACAACTCCCTCCAGAAAGGATTAATTTATCTGGTGCTGAATAGAATTCATCACATGCCCTGTGTCACGCAAACCTTGTTCCTTCCTCTGAGGAGGCATAGTCGCTTAGTGAGCATTTACAGAGCTGGAGGCTCAAAGAGGGGTCTTCCTTTCCTCATTCAGCTGGCGCAGCTCCTGGTGCTTGGGACCCTGAAGAGCTGACCAGTGGCCCTCATTCCCAGCCCGTCACTTTCCTCAGAACATGAATCCATTTGCTCACTGTGCTGCTTCCTCATCTATAAACATTTCAGGAAGAAGTCATTACTCTTAAAGAATGGGGGAAGCCATTAGATTGCCTCTTCTTAGTATTAAAGAAAATGTATTATCCAAGAACATTTTAACATTTTGACGTTAAAATGAATTGTAGTCAGTACACTAGGTTGTTTCCTGAAAGAAAACCTCCCTACCCCCCACCTAAATATAACTGTTCAGAATTGGTTGTCCTTTCTCAGCTGTTTAGCTCCCTTGCTCATATTAAGAAAGCATAAATAATCAAGAATCCACACTTGATTACATCATTAGAATGACATTTAAAGCTGTGAAACGCTTATTGTAAGCTTTTGCTGTTAAAGATTCAGAACCCCATGAAGGTAGACCTGCAGGACAATTTTTGCCTGCTACAGACTTGAATCTCTTCTTAGATGTTAACAATGTGGCATTTCCTTTTGCAGATACCCTTCCTCCCCACAAGCAGCCTGTCTACATTGATAGGGCCAAAGCACACAACTTCCTATGTTTGGGCTAATGGCCGTGTGGGAGTGAAACCCAGACAAGCCTTAGCCTCTAGCTGCCTCTAAAAATTACTGAGTTTAAAAACTGAAATAATCTCTTTGTTACTTTCTACTAAGGCTAGTCTAGGTTTGATTTACTTGTGTCCATATTCACAAATGCACTTATGCCTTTGCAAGGGACTTTTTCTTCTAATTCCATCTATCCAAGGGAAGGAGGCTTAGTATTTCAAAGGCTCATTCATCTTGATTTTAGCCAAGAGCTTTGCTTTTGGTATTACACACTGGGTTGCTTAAATTTCCATATGGGATCCTTATCATGTATCATTATTACTTGGTTTATTGAAGAGATCTTAGCTTTTCATTCCAGTTCCACATGTCCTTTATTTTTTTGAACATAGATGCTGACATATTTTGAAAATGACTATTCCCTAACAATCTTCCATTAGGATTTGGTTCCAAGCTTTGCAAAAATAAGTGTTTTGCTTTTAGCTGCTATGAAAGTGCTGACTAGAGGAGAAAAAAATACTGCTATCAAGGGAAGTATTGACCATTGCTGGTCGAATAATAAAATTAGACTAGCTGTCAGCTTATTACACATTAGTAGCTGTTTCTTGTTCCAGTAAAACTATCATGTGTAAGGAAACATTGTAGAGATGTAGGATATTGAGCTGCAGAGTTCGATTAGCCTATGAACCTGCTTCCTGCTTCTGTAGATGTTACTTTTGGCCGTTGATTTCTCTCTCTCTCAAGTATAAGTTTTAAAAGACAATGAAGAGAATAATTGAAGCTATGCATCTTGAATATAAAGCGCGTTTTCAGGCTCTCAATTTTTTCCTTTTCCCCATTGGTGTACCTAGGCTGATGCAGATAGTTTTTATATGGCATGCAATGGCCGCCAGTTCAACTCAATAGAAGATGATGTTTGCCAGCTGGTCTATGTGGAAAGGGCCGAAGTACTGAAATCTGAAGATGTAAGTATAAATAATCCTTATATTTGATATACATATCAGAATGGTATAAAGTTAAACAGTAAGATATCTACGGAAATGTCCAAAATAGGCCAATCCATAGAGACAAAGTAGATTAATGATTGCCAGAGGTCAGGGTAAGAGGAGAGTAACTGCTGATGAAAACGAGGTTTCTTTTCAAGATGATAGAAATGTTCTAGAATTAGGTTGTGGTGATGGTTGCTCAAACTTGTGAATAACGAAAAAACAAAACAAAAAACACCCACTGAATTGTATACTTTGGTGAATTTTATGTCCGTTTTAAAAATTGTCCAAAAATGTAAAAAAATAAATAAAAGGATATTATCTATATCATTGAAAATTAGGTTCATCTATTCTAGATCAATGAAACATTGCCTAGAGCCTAAAAGAAGTGTTTTTATTTTAAATATCAACCCTTAATCCCCATCCTAATTTATTTTTTATGTTTTTATTTATTTTAGAGAGGAAGGGAGAAGGATAGAGAGAAACATCAATGATGAGAGAATCATTGATTGGCTGCCTCCTGCACACCCCCTACTGGGGATGGAGCCGGCCACCTGGGCATGTGTCCTGACCTGAATTAAACTGTGACTTCCTGGTTCATAGGTTGACGCTCACACCTGCCAGCCAGACTCTGCTGCTTTTCTTCATTTGTATTCTGTTATAATCATAGACCTTTACACTTAGAGTTAGGAGTCTGTTGACATTTTAGATTCTCTGTTTTAAGGTTTTGGAGGCAGTCTCCCTTCCTAGAATGTCAGCTCTGTGAGGGCAGGGATCTTTGTCTGCTTTGTTCTCCTCTGTATCCCCAGTGCCTAGCACAGTGCTGGGAAGATCGGAGGCGCTCAATCAGTATTTGTTGCTTGAATAAAAATTTTAAATTATTTGCACAGAGCAATAATGTTGAGAATATCCTTCCAGGAGTCAAAAGGCAATAGGAAAACTGTTGTTTTAAAAAATTAGAACTGGTGGATGAAGAGTGAGGCTTATGTGAGGTGTTTCACTCTAGGGTGCCAGTCTCCCTGTGATGGATCTGACCGAGCTCCCCAAGTGCACGGTGTGTCTGGAGCGCATGGATGAGTCTGTGAATGGCATCCTCACCACGTTATGTAACCACAGCTTCCACAGCCAGTGCTTGCAGCGCTGGGACGACACGACGTGAGTATAGGAGCGAGCTCATCTCCCAACCTATTAAAGCCCACTCTTACCCTTTCCCAGAATTAAAATAGCCACCACCAAAAGTGAACCAGTCCAAGTATTTGACTTTAAAAAATATATATGTTTTTCTTGATTTCACAGAAGGAAGAGGGAGAGAGAGATTGAAACATCAGTGATAAGAGAGAATTATTGATTGGCTGCCTCCGCACATCCCCTAATGGGAATCAAGCCTGAAACTGGGCTTGTGCCCTGACTGGGAATTGAACCGTGAGCTCCTGGTTCATGTGTCAACGCTCAACCACTGAGCCACTCAGGCTGGGCTCCCTTTTTCCTTTTCATTCTCAGGGTCATACAGTTCACAAAGGCCGTTCTGACACTTAGATTTCAGAATTAGTTTGTTGTTTTCTTATCCAACCACGACTACAGCTGCCACACAGACCACAGGGATGGCAGAGGGCTAGTTTCTAGCTTTGACAAGACGCCTGCTGCTTACCAGCTGCCATTTCGTTATTTCTTCAAGTTGTCTTCTGTCTTTTCTGTTGATACTGAAGAAAGAGACAGACTGGATCCTTTAACTTTCTCTTAGGAACACAGACTTTTCTTTTTTATATATATTTTTATTGATTTCTGGGAGGGGGAGGGGGGAGGGGGAGGGAGAGAGATAGAAACATCAATGATGAGAGAGAATCATTGATTGGCTGCCTCCTGCCTACTGGGGATCAAGCACACAACCTGGGCATGTATCCTTGACCAGAATCGACCCTGGAACCCTTCAGTCCACAGGCTGATGCTCTATCCACTGAGCCAAACCAGCTAGGGCAACAAAGACTCTTTTTCTGTGACAAGAACTCTGTGTTCTTCCTGCTGATTTCCTTTTGTTGGTTTTATTTATGCAGTTGGGTAACAAACTGATACTAGTTGTTTCTTGAGCATTCTTTCTTCTTGTGCCAATTCAGTTAGCCTCAACAATAATTCACTTTGTATCATCTTTGCCCATCTGACAAAAATATTAATGGCTAGTACTTAACTCAGTTACTTTGTCTTAAGTATAATTGAAGAGGGTTAATGGATTTTTTCAGTGTCCCTTTTTTCAATTATATTGAAGTATAATTGACAGTCAGAAATTATATATTTAAGATGTATGACTTGATGACCCAGTCTACGTATACATTGTGAAATATTAAATATTCACCACAACCAAGCCAATTAACATAATCCATCACTCATACTTTTACCATTTCCCTTTTTCCTTTTTTTTTTTTGTGTGTGTGGGGGAAGAACACCCAAGATCTACCCTCTTAGCAGATTTCACGTACACAGTATAATATTAACTGTAGTCACATTAATGTGCACCAATTCTACGAACTTACTCATCTTACATAACTGAAACTTTGTATCCCTTGACATCTTCCTATTTTCCTATCCCCTGGGCCCTGGTTACCATCTTTCTACTCTATGTATCTGTGAGTTTTTGTTTGTTTTTTTAAATATATTTTTATTGACTTCAGAGAGGAAGATGAGTTTGCCTTCACTGTCGTTTTTTGTTTGTTTTTTTAAATATATTTTTATTGACTTCAGAGAGGAAGGAAGAGGGAGAGAGAGATAGAAACATCAATAATAAGAGAGAATCATTGATCAGCTGCCTCCTGTACACCCCACAATGGGAATCAAGCCTGCAACCCAGGCACGTGCCCTTGACCAGAGTCAAACCTGGGACCTTTCAGTCCACAGGTCTACGCTCTATTCATTGAGCCAAACCAGCTAGGACTTCACTGCTGTTTTTATTGCATTTTGTAAATTGAAACTTGAGTACTCACAGAGCGCTGGTATCTTCTTCCACATGATGTTCCTTATATGTGAAAGTGTCATGTGCATTTCAGGAAATACATTGACTTTATTTTTAATTTGGTGAAATTTACTAGAGTTTAGTTTCAACTCTTAGGAGCAACCTTGAGAGGACTGGATTCATTTTAAATAATTTAAACTTTTCGAAGTGGGTATAAGGTAGATTATTTAAAGTAAAAATGCCTTATGGGTACCTAGACATGAAAAAATTAATAACTTGTCTCAAGTCCCTAATTCTAGCCCATTATGTAATCCTTTGATTATGTAAGCTTTAGACAGGAGAGTGGGAAAAGGTATGAGGCAGATGAAGATTTCTCCCTTTCCTCTGCTTTATCAAGGTTTTGTTGTTTTTTTCATTTTGTTTGCAAATAGCTCAGAAGTATATTTTGAGTGATATTTTTAGTTATGATAAAAGATATTAGAGAAGGAGTATTTAAAATTCAGTTTTTTACTGTTGGGTTGTATAACAGCTGTTTTCTATTTAATCTGTCATTATCTTTTGGTGTCTTGGACAGGTGCCCTGTTTGCCGGTACTGTCAAACTCCAGAGCCAGTAGAAGAAAATAAGTGTTTTGAATGTGGTGTTCAGGAAGTAAGTAATGCATGGTGGGAACGAATAATGAACACCGCTTTAATTGTCTGGGATTTTTTTCTGCCTTGCGAGGCTTGAAATACTTTTGTGAGACTGATTTTTTTTCTTTTTGTCTAGTGTCAGGCAAGAAATATAACTATAAAAACCATTTGACACCTAAGCAAAATACTTTATGGTTTTATTTTTTGTCCTTTGAAAAAGCCTATACTTTTATTGATAAGTTATGAATTTTTTCCTTGCTATTTGCATGGAGTTCCATTAAAGTCAGAATAAGAAAATGATTGACCCATAAAAAGCATCCTTACTTTTGGGTTTTAAATATATATTTATTCGAAGCTCCTATAGAAACAACTCTAAATCTTATTCTGTGTCAGCCCCTTCCTACCATGAGTCAGGCAAGTCATGTATTTTTATTTTACTTTATTTTTTCATAGAAACATAGGTTTATTTTGATAGAGACATGCTGAAGACAAAGGGCTGAAATAAATGAGTAATTGTTAACATAAAATAATAGAACATTTTAATAAAAATATTTTTTCTTGAACATTAACTTACCAGACACTGAATAACTGCACAAATTAATAAGCGTAATGCAAATAAACCTATTTTTCTTGTTTTCCAAAAGCGAAATATTTCCTGTTGTGCACACCAAACAAGACAGTACAAGACTAATGATGTGGCCATCGGCTGCTAAAATATTCGCTGCTAGTATTAGTAGAGAGAAATGGTGCACCTGCACGTAGGCATGTAAGGGAAATGAATGCAACACAATTATAGTAATCAGTCATTAGTGAACGTTGTAGTTCGTTATTAATAATTATGTATAATAGGATATTGTAAAAATTAAGTTACGAAATTTTTATTAAAATGTTTCTTCCATACCGTTATATTGGCTGGGCTGCAAAAATATTTCTTGTGGGCCGCAAGTTTGACATGCTTGATGTAGAGTAGAGCCTTAGAGACTCAAGGTAAGGAGTCTGGAGTTTTGTTTTTTTGTTTTTTTAATATATTTTATTGATTTTTTTACAGAGAGGAAGGGAGAGGGATAGAGAGCCAGAAACATCGATGAGAGAGAAACATCGGTCAGCTGCCTCCTGCACGCCCCCCACTGGGGATGTGCCCGAAACCAAGGTACATGCCCTTGACCGGAGTCGAACCCGGGACCCTTGAGTCCGAAGGCCGACGCTCTATCCACTGAGCCACACCGGTTCTGGCGGAGTCTGGAGTTTTAAGTGTACTGAGAAGGAAAGGGAGTTTCAGTTACTGTATTTGAAAAGTTCAAACACAGCGCTGACTATGTCCTTGGACTGCTCTACGTGCTTTACAGCTATGCACTCAATCATTTAACAAGCCTATGAGATCGATGCCATTACCATCCCTATTTTACAGATAAGGGAACTGAGGCCCACAGAGATTTCATGACATCATCCCAGATGCTTGGATATAGCAGAGCCAGGACAAACTATCTGATGGATTTATTTATTTTATTTTTTTGATATATTTTATTGACTTTTTACAGAGAGGAAGGGAGAGGGATAGAGAGTTAGGAACATCGATGAGAGAGAAATATCCATCAGCTGCCTTCTGCAAACTCCCTACTGGGGATGTGCCCCCAACCAAGGTACATGTCCTTGACCGGAATCAAACCTGGGACCCTTGAGTCCGCAGGCTGACGCTCTATCCACTGAGCCAAAGCGGTTAGGGCTGATGGATTTATTTTTAAAGTTCACTCTGGTTGCAATGTGGAGGACAAAATGTAGATGGGCAGGAATAGTCCAGGCCAGCGATCATGGGGGCTTAGACTCAGGGATGACAGTGGAAGAAGTTAGAATGGCTGGTGTCTTACTCTGTTCAGGTTGCTGTAGCAAAGTACCAGTACTTTTACTTCTACAAAATGAAGCTTCTAACAGCAAAGAGATTATCTGTCATGTATTTTTATATAATTAAAATCATACCTTTTTCTTGGCAGAACCTTTGGATTTGCTTAATATGTGGCCACATAGGATGTGGACGATATGTAAGTCGACATGCTTATAAGCACTTTGAGGAAACCCAGCACACGTATGCCATGCAGCTCACCAATCATCGAGTCTGGGACTATGCTGGAGGTGAACACCACTCTCATTCTCGAATTTGGGTTCATTCTGTATGAAAACTTCTCTGTCAGAATCTCTCACAGCATGAAACCTTTCTGACAGCTGTGGCAAACTCAAGCCCTATAGGGCACTATTTCCTATGACTGGTCTGAGTTGCACCTTATAAATTAATATTTGCACCTTAATATTTCCACTCTTGCCTTTCACTCTTTTTTAAATTCAAATGCTTTAGCTCACTTTTAAAAATACATATATATTTTTATTGATTTCAGAGAGGAAGGGAGAGGGAGAGAGAGATAGAAACATCAAGGATGAGAGAATCATTGATCAGCTGCCTCCTGCATGCCTCCCACTGGGGATTGAACCCGTCACCCGGGCATGTGCCCTTGACCAGAATCGAACCTGGGAACCTTCAGTTCGCAGGCTGATGCTCTATCCACTAGGGTTAGCTCACTTTTATTTTTATTATTATTTATTTTATTATTTTATTATTTTTAGGGATAGCTCACTTTTAAAGAAATACTGCAATTTAGATCTGTGAAAACAAAAATGTCAGTTAAAATAGTATGGGAGACCCTTTCCATTCTGAGAGAAATATACCTTGGTTGACTCATTCTTTTCTTTAGATAATTATGTCCATCGACTGGTTGCAAGTAAAACAGATGGAAAAATAGTACAGTATGAATGTGAGGGTGATACTTGCCAGGAAGAGAAAATAGATGCCTTGCAGTTAGAGGTAAGATAAGTTATTAGTAATTACTAAATAGCTTTTTACTATTCTAACTTGAAAGGTGTTTTAGATTTTTAATTTTGCCATTTACTCTGCATGTCAACTTTTTAAAAAAGTTCTATTACTGCTATAAATGATTATTAGAATATTTTTATTCTGGTTTTCTTCCTTGAAAGTCTAAGTTTCACTGTGCCTTATTTTCAATGTGATATTCTGAGTTGTCTCAAGTTTCAGTATTAAGGTTGTCCTCTGTAGCTGCTCTAAAACTGGAAGTTAAGAATCTTTCTGTTGGCATTATAGTAACAGTTGTAAATTGAGCAGACTTGGTTGGAATGAGGAAACCTCAATAGTATCTTTCCAGGGAGCTTTTCCCTATATATTGGCTGGCATTTTATGAATTTGATGCCTATATACATAAAGCCATTTTTGGGTGCTCATATATTTGAAGAAACAACAAAATTAGCACAGTCTATGTTTTCTCCATACCAGTAAGTCCCGTCTACTATAAAATTGATGTCATGTGCATTTTATGTTAATGAAGAAGTTTAACACAAGTCCTATTTTATATAAATTAGAAAGTAATTGTTTTAAAAACAAATATCTTAACCTTGGGAGGAAATGGACATTTAAAAACTTGCTCATTTCCAGACTTTTAAGGTCTGATAGATCAGTATAATGGCCTAAAATAAGGCTTATGTTGTTACCGTTAATAAATTATATTGAAAAAATATTATATTGATATATCACAGTAGTTCACATCTTTTACATTAAGTTTTTAGAATGAGTAACCCTTCCATAATAGTTAATAATAGTATGTCATTCAATGAATATTCATTGAGGGTTGCTGTCTGTCAGCCAGTCCTCCTGGTGGTGGGAATGGAGCACGCATTAAACTCCCTGCCCTCATGGAGTGTACTTTCTGGTGACACACACACATATTCTCCCGATTGTCCTTTCCCTCTGTTGCACTTTCAGTCTCTTCTCTAGAATGCGGTTAGATCTCTGCTAGTCTCCTAGAATAGTCTTTCCAAAATGCAGGTGTGATCTGACCAAGCCTTGGCCCACATTCTCAATGTGATAACCCAGAGCCTTCCATAGACCCCAACTCTCCACACCCTACACCCCAGCCTTATTGGTACTTCTTCGTCTCTGAAGAGACATATACATCACAGCTCACATCAAGGTCCAGTAGTTCTCTGGAACCATACCTCTCTCTTTATCTCCTCTTCCTGTCTGTTAAGAGCCCTCTCAAATCTCTTTCTTTCAGAAGTCCTACTATGTCCTACTGTCAGAAGCCATCTATCCTTTCCCCGCAGTTACACAGCACTGTTCATTCATCCATGTAATCAGGCAGCAAATGTTTCTTAACATCCAGCATGTGCCAGGCACTGAGGATATAGAAATAAAGATAGAACCCTTGCTTTCAGAGAGGCCAGTCGTGGAAGACAGGCAGATAAACCAGTAATTAAGTGCTAGTGTTATAAGTGCTATTGATAGGCATAGTGCTGTGGGAACTGAGAAAGGGGGCACGTAACCCAAGGCTGGGAGGTACAGGGTAGATGGATAACCTGATTTGAGTTACCCTTTGATTTAAAAACCATGAGGTTCTTTTTTAAAATACATTTTTATTGATTTCAGAGAGGAAGGGAGAGGGAGAGAGAAACAGCAATGATGAGAGAGAATCATTGATTGGCTGCCTCCTGCACGCCCCCTACTGGGGATCAAGCCCACAACCCAGGCATGTGCCCTTGACCATAATCGAACCTAGGACCTTTCAGTCTGTAGGCCTACACTCTGTCCACTGAGCAAAACCAGCTAGGGCACCATGTGGTTCTGAAAGTCAGTTTAAACAGGAACATATGTCTTTTTACTGCACATTTCCCTGTTTGTTCCTGACTAGATTGTAAGCTCCAGGAGGTCAAGAGTATAATTGTGGTTTAGTGAGTAGAGTGGAACCAAGGTGTAATATATATGTGATGGTTACTCTTACTCTTCTGTAGGCCATTAAAAGTAAGCTTTTAATTGGATTTCAGAGACTGACAACAATGACTTATGTTTTATTATTTATGTTTTCAGTATTCATATTTACTAACAAGCCAGCTGGAATCACAGCGAATCTACTGGGAAAACAAGATAGTTCGGATAGAGAAGGACACAGCAGAAGAAGTAAGTTTCTGGTTTAGTGACTGATGAAGTGCCACGTGGCATGGGCAATCTGATGTTGGTTTGGGAAAAGGCAGAGTACAGAGACAAAGGAATCTTTGAATCTTTCTTCTTAGTCTGGTAGACAGGTAAAGAACTGTTCTGCCTCTAAAAAGAAACCTTTGTTCTATGTATGTCAGTTATGTTGCAGTAAAGCTGGAGTTAGGGGAAAGAAGAATAGAAAACAATTTGGAATCATTTGGCTCACCTCAGTAACCTAACTCTAGGTAAGGATTCCAGAGAGAAGTGGTAAACACCTGAATTTTCATTATATTAGAGACTTAGCCTATGAAGGCACTATTGTGGGACAAGCTAGACCACAATGAGAATGAAATTAGTCAAAAAGGAAAAGGAAGAGAAAAAAGGCAAATGCAATCAACTAGGTATAGTATAAGAAGGGGAGAGAAGCAGACATGTATTCTCACCTAAGATTACTAAATCAAAAAGAATATATTAAAATCTTATTGTATACTGAGCTCTATACCAAACTAAGTTAAGAAAGAAATAAAATACCTTGCATGTACCTTAAAAAAAAGAAAGGAAAATAGAAATCTTGCATTTAAAAGCTTTAAATTTTGGGCTTGGGGTTTTATTTGGTAATTTCAATAAAGTTTTCTAGTGCCTTGTGTTATTCTATTTAAAAAATAGAAGTATATACATGAGAGTTTGTAATTTGAGTCAGCCAGTTGGTTTGTGAACTTGGGAACAGCTGCTTTGGGGAGCTGAACATGGGCCTCTGAGCCAACAAGATGTTACTTCTAGAAGTTGATGGGAACAAAATTGGGCAGAAATGCTAGAACTTCAATGGTAACCATGTTTCCTTATTGGTCTAGGACAGTGATTTTCAACTGGTTGTTCCATGGCACACCAGTGTGAATTTTTAAAACATAGAATACCTGACTATGCAGTCAAGGGCACGGACCTCTTTTCCCCTAGATCCGTGGTCGGCAAACTGCAGCTCGCGAGCCACATGTGGCTCTTTGGCCCCTTGAGTGTGGCTCTTCCTAAGCCTTAGGAGTACCCTAATTAAGTTAATAACAATGTACCTACTTATATAGTTTAAGTTTAAAAAAATTGGCTCTCAAAAGAAATTTCAATCGTTGTACTGTTGATATTTGGCTCTGTTGACTAATGAGTTTGCTGACCACTGCCCTAGATTGTCAAATAAAAAAAAATGACAACATCCAATACAGCAATAGCTGCCTGGTGGGAATGAATCAAAATGTATACCCCCCCCCTTTTTTTTTTTTCAGATTGCAAAGTATACATTTTTGGTGTGCTGCAGAATTTTAGTAACTAGTTTATGTGTGCCATGAGATGAAAAAGGTTAAAAATTGCTGGTCTCAGGCAGTGTCTTCAGATTTTAACAAAGATGCCATTTTCAAAGAGATGCCACTCACTACAATATTTAAAAGAGAAAAGTGGTTTGGTTTTGGTTGAAACCTAGATGAAGGGCCCAGAGCTCCACCTGCTTGGTTTTCCCTTTGTCTCCAGCCTGTACAAGGAGTCCAGAGGTTCCCAAAGAAGGAGGTTGAAAACCAGTGAGCACTGCAGGGTTCATGTATAATTAGGATGCTAGAAACCATTTTCTGAACCTATGGACAGTGTTCTTAATCCATCAATTCCCTTAGTATTAAATAAAGGCTTTGAGATTTTTTTAAATGATTGTCTTAATAATTTTGTGAATCCCCACCAGTAACTGGGTCTTCAGATGGAGAATGCAGAGCTGGGCCTGGGGCTCACCTCCAAGTAGCATTATCCTGGAGCTTAGCAGGCAGGGCCGAGCTCTCACTTTATGCCAGGCCCAGGGGCCCTGGTTTCTGGATGTGCCTACAAATGAGGAGAAACTGGGTTTTTAAACATAAGGCTTAACACCAACTTTAAAATGATGTTTAGTTCAAAGTTCTTGATGAAATTCTTTACGACCCTTCCAAGTAATGGAAATGCCTTTCCAGAGGCACTCAAGTTCTGAATAGGGCTTGATTGGGTACATGGGGGAAGGACACACCTCTGACAGCACTCAGGAGAGAGCTGGCAACCCGAGCAGCCTCACTAATGGGTTTTTCCACGGGCTATCCCAGCGTGACCATGAAGTGCTTCATGCAGACCCTTGAGAGCTAAGTTCAGGATTCTCTGCCTTTTAAGATTCTTTAGGATTAACTGCATTCTCTAACACATGCCCATGAAAAGTCCAGGGACAGGGGAGCTAAAAACTGTGAAACTTGTGTTTCCATTTAGGAAGTGGTAATATGGAGGCCCTAAATGAAAAGCTTGAAGGGCTTGAAAAGAATGCTTTGTTTTCTAATAACAAATGTTGCTTATCCATAAGGTAATGGATGGTTCAAGCCTTTTGTTCCTGCCACTGTCCTCCTTTTGCCCAGTTCTCTGTCCATTGGCACCTCCAGCATGTGCAAGGATTAACAGTAACCAACGTGGATCTCACTGACAGAGATTCTTGTTCATGGGCCTCATAAAAAGTTAATGTGGGGGAGGGGGAGGGGGAGGGTGAAGGTTGAAATGGATTGTGAACTTCAGTTATAATACTATTCCTGTCCCCCAATGCCTTAGGTAGTACAATTATTCTAGCACGTGAGCAGAGTCTGTGCTAGAAAATGAAGCTCATCCCCACTTGAAGGTGCTTAGTTTTAACGGGGCCACATATGAAGAACACAGGTGCCGCTTTTCTCTCTGAACTCTAGACCCATGTTTTCAGACAGTTTTTCTCCAGCCGTGGGTGGGAAATGAGTTTGGTGGACCACAACTGGCATTTTTATTAAACAGAATAGGATAGGCGTAAAATATCAGAGTGCATCACATTTAAATATTGTTTTCCAAAACTCCTGTTTCAGTTGTGTCTTTTTATGTTCCTGGGTGTTTCTTACTTTGGGCCAATCGTCAGAAATGTTTTCAAAAGCACTAATTTAGCCCATTGTAACATCATCTATAGCAATATTAGAAAGCTTCTTGGTGTTGCTTGATATTTTTCATTTTGATTTAAATGTGTTCGGTTTAAGTCACTTTAGTGACCAAAACATTACAATTTTTAAAAAATATATATTTCTTTATTGATTTCAGAGAGGAAGGAGGAGGGAGAAAGATAAACATCAATGATGAGAGAGAATCATTGATCGGCTGCCTCCTGCACGCACCCTACTGGGGATCGAGCCCACAACCCAGGCATGTGCTCCCAGCTGGAATCAAACCTGGGACCCTTCAGTCTGCAGGCCGACGCTCTAGCCACCGAGCCAAACCAACTAGGGCCAAAACATTACAATTTGATTCCATTTCTGTCCTTTCCAATTCCCCTAAACTAACAGGAGCCAGTTTAGGAGAAAATGTCAAAGGATTTAGTGGTCTTTTATGTTAAAGCAATATTGAGGAGAAAAGTGAATACCAAACTAGAATTAAAGCAATTTTAAGGCTATTTTTATTTTTATGACATAGAAAAACTGTCAGAAATCTCCCTTTAATTGCATGCTTTTATAACTTAATGGTAGTTGGCTATAAAGTTAATTTCTCCAAAGTAGTTTTTTTCTTATTATTCAGAAAGGGAGACAGCTCTAGCCAGTTTGGCTCAGTGGATAGAGTATCGGCCTGCAGACTGAAGGGTCTCAGGTTCGATTCTGGTCAAGGGCAAGTGCCCAGGTTGTGAGCTCAATCCCTGGTAGGGGCATGCAGAAGGCAGCCGATCAGTTCTTATCATTGATGTTTATATCTCTCTCCCTGTCCCTTCTTCTCTGAAATCAATAAAAATATATATTTTTTAAAAAGGTGGACAGTGCTTTTAGAGACCTGTTAGGCCATATGGCAAGTGTTTAAAAAGGAAATGCTAAAAGCAATGGCCCTTTCTCCTGGATCTCTGCTGAGTTTAGAACTCACCCGGAGGTCACTTTTCTTTTGCTATAGAGAGGTTTAGAACTTGGCTTTGAACCCAGACTTGGGGTCCAGTCCTGGACCCACCACACTTTATTTAGCTGGGTAAACCTTGGGTATATTACCTCACCTTTCTGAAAGCCTCTGTTTCTGTAAAAAGTTGACATACCTAATCATAGGTGTATTATAAGGAGATACTACTTACAAAACACCTAGCAGGTGCCTGGGCCATAGGATTTAAATTCTCAGTTACTATCAGTTCCTATGATTATTGCCTCACCATTCACCTAGCCCCGTAGTCGGCAAACTGTGGCTCGCGAGCCACATGCGGCTCTTTGGCCCCTTGAGTGTGGCTCTTCCTAAGCCTTAGGAGTACCCTAATTAAGTTAATAACAATGTACCTACCTATATAGTTTAAGTTTAAAAAATTTTGCTCTCAAAAGAAATTTCAATCGTTGTACTATTGATATTTGGCTGTGTTGACTAATGAGTTTGCCAACCACCGACCTAGCCTCACTACTTCCCCTTTCACCTAATCTTCCCATGTTGTTAGAATGGTAGAGTTGAGACATTTCCCAAATCTTCACACCTGAGTGAATCTAGTGTCTGCCTAGCTAGACTTCAGTAGACTCTTGGCTAGGATTGCTGCCATCTGACATAAAACAGCAGAATTTTTCAATTCTCGTAAGTTTTTAAGACAGTGTAATAAGAATTAGTTCATATATATTGCCTTTATAAATGAACTCAATAAAACAAGAACCGATTCATGTACCATATGGCTTTATGGTACATGAGAAATTGAATAGTGAGTTGGGTTGGGGAACCCCAAACAGAATCCGTTATCACATCATTCTTAGAGTAGATGAGTTTCTTGCATTATTTGGATAATAGTTTTTGGAATGTAATCTCAGGAGGAGAAAAACGATGGTGAGTTGAGCATGGGAGGGGAGGCCCCGTTCCAGTGTCTCTGACAAACCATCTCCTGCTCTACTGCCTGGAACTGTTCCTTTACTTCCGAGCAGTTTCACTTGACCCTCAGCAGCTCCTGATCCTTTGTTCATCCTGGTATAGAGAAATAGTAACCAAAAAAAGAATTTCTCAAATATTTTATTCCTATTACTGGAATTCTTTAAAATGATTATCTCACCTTTTCTAAAATTGGCTTGTCAAAGTTATACACAGGTAACTGGAAAAATTTTTTTTGAGAAATTAGCTCCAAAGGCCACACAACTTTGTCTTTGTGAAATGAAACTGATCTCTGTTTGCTTTTTCAGATTAACAATATGAAGACCAAATTTAAAGAAACAATTGAGAAATGTGATAATCTGGAGCACAGACTAAATGACCTTCTAAAAGAAAAGCAGTCTATGGAAAGAAAGTAGGTATAATTGGTCTGTTCTTTAAAGGAGGCATTTTATTGTAACAGGCAACATAAACAGATAATTTCCTTCACTCCTAAGGAAATACTCATTTTCAAGTGTATCACCAGGTTTCCAGGGGTCTATCTATATGTAGAGCAAACTTACTGTGACTTCCTATTTATTAAAATCACAGTGTTTCATGCCAGATGGATGCTGTAGGGAATGCAGTGTTCTCTCCTGAAATGTGCAAATATCTTCTACATTTGCCTGTAGAAAGTAATTTCCTTGTTCCCAGAGCCTGTAGCTTCTCTGAGCCATGGTGGCTGAGAAATGATAGGAAAGAGACCGTGTCTAAGCTGGAGATGGCATGTGTTCTGACCTTAGACAGGAATTAAAGGCCAATGATATTGAATATGGAGCAAAAACATCATGAACAGCATGGCAAGACCATCACTCTACCCCTGCTATATGGGAAGATGGTTATTACTGATTGAAATTACTTTTCTGGTCTATGTTATACTCACAAAAATAACTGGATTTTTACCTCCAGACAAATGTATAAAAAAATGTAAGGGTGATAATTGTTCCTTAAAAGTTTTTTAATAGACCTTTTATCGTGGAGTAAATGTAGATTTACAGAGGTTATAAGGTAGCACAGAGTTCCTGTATACCCTTCACACATTCCCCCAAAAGTTGGATTTTTAAAAATAGTTTTTTATATGTGTGTGGTAAAAATCTATGTAACAAAAAACTTGTAACCATTTTTAAGTGTACAGTTCAGTGGCATTAAATACATTCATAATGTTGTACAACTGTCACCACCATCTGTTTCCAAAATTTCTCATCACCACAAACAGAAACTCTTCACCAAAGGTTTAAAAAAAAAAAACCACTGTGATAAAATCCCAACATTAGTAGAAATACAAATTAAAAATCCTCCTATACTTTTACCACCTTAATAAATTGAACTATATTAAAGAATTAAAAAGTGAAAACTGGAGGTGTTTTCCTAGATCCCAATATCTGGAAGTAACCATTATTTAACAGTACCAGTGAATATTTACTCTTACAGATCTGCTGTACCTATATAAACATCTCACATACACAGTCTTTTTTTTCTACACAATTAGAATAATACTACGTATTCTATTTGGTAAAATACTCTGGAGATTTTTTCCATGCTGGCACATTTTAGCTCTATCATGATCTTTGTAATGGCTGTGTAGTATTCCATTGTGTGTAGGTCCCATAGTAATTTTTTAAATATATTTTTATTGATTTCAGAGAGGAAGGGAGAGGGAGAAAGAGAAACATCAATGATGAGAGAGAATCATCCATCAGCTGCCTCCTGCACACCCCCCACTGGGGATTGAGCCCGAAACCTGGGCATGTGCCCTTGACCGGAATCAAACCTGGGACCCTTCGGTCCTTAAGCCATCACTCTATCCACTGAGCCAAACTGGCTAAGGCAAACTTTTTGTTGTTGTTGTTAATCTTCACCCAAGGACATTTTTCCATTTATTTTTAGGGAGGTTGGAAGAAAGGGAAAGACAGAGAGAAACATCAATGTGAGAGTAACACATCGATTGGTTGCCTCCTGCACAAGCCCCAACCAGAGCCTGGGTGGGGAGCCTGCTACCAAGGTACATGCCCTTGATCGGAATTGAACTCGGGACCCTTTGGTCCACAGGCTGGCTCTATCCACTGAGCCAAACCGGCTAGGGCGGTCCCATAATAATTTCAGGCAGTTCCCATTGATGGACATCTAAGTTGTCTCAAGTCTTCCACTATTGTAAACAACATTGTGATGAGCATCTTTCTCCGTGTGTCTTTTCAGCGCATTCCTGAGTATATCTAGTTTACAGGATAAGTTCCTAAAAGTAGAGTAGCTGTATCAAAGGACCATGTGAAATTTCGACTTTCTAGTTAGCTCCAAGTTAACTCTGAGAATTTGTACCAGTTCCCACTCCAGTGCCATGTGTAGGAGTGCCTCTTCCCATGTGTGTGAGCTCTTTGGCATTCTGATACATAAAAATGGTGTTTAAATCTGTGGTTCTTTACTTATGAGTAATAAATGCAGTGAGGTCAGATCACTTGACTCTCCAAGAATGTAACTTTTCCTCATAACTTCTTTATCACCATTGTCCTCTCTGAAACCTATTTAACCACTACTGCAAAACAAGAGAAGCAGTAGAAGTTTTACCATAAACCATGAATCGCAGAATAGTTTCTGCTATGGAAAAATTTCTATGCCTAAAAATGAAAAATTGTCTTAAAGCTATACTTGGGTTAAGTAGTGCAAATTCTTGCTTTGTGTAGCTGTTGCAATGGTAGCAAACCAGTCTCCCTGAACAGGTAGGGAGGATTCCACCCTAAATGATTCTGAGATCATAGCTCCTCTGTTCAAGCTCACAGTAGATAAAGGTCTGTGTCAGCAAATGAAAAATGTGCTTTTGTCTTCCTTTGTTTTGTAAAAGGTGCACTCAGCTAAACACAAAAGTAGCCAAACTCACCACAGAGCTCAAAGAGGAGCAGGAAATGAACAAGTGTTTGCGAGCCAATCAGGTCCTCCTGCAGAACAAGCTGAAGGAGGAGGAGAGGGTTTTGAAGGAGACCTGTGACCAGAAGGATCTGCAGATCACCGAGATCCAGGAGCAGCTGCGTGATGTCATGTTCTACCTGGAGGCACAGCAGAAGATCAACCACCTGCCTGCTGAGACCCGGCAGGAAATCCAAGAGGGGCAGATCAACATTGCCATGGCCTCAGCCTCGAGCCCCGCCTCTTCCGGGGGCAGTGGGAAGCTGCCCTCCAGGAAGAGCCGCAGCAAGAGGGGCAAGTGACCTTTGCAGAAACAGGTGTCCCTGAGACTGTTTTCCCTGGCACGGCGAGGGTGTGCTGGGGCCTAAATGTGAGGGTGGGCCCGAAATAAGTACAAGTGAGGATCAAGCTGCAGTTGTTTGGATCTTTCATTTGCTAGTGTTTGGTGTAATGAATGTAGAGGGTTGACAACTAGGAGAACTGATGGAAAGGGGAATGTTTTAAATGGTGGCTGCTTTTTTCAACCTAATAGTTCACTAACCTCAGACATTCTAATGACCATTTTGCCTTCCTACTTGATAGATGCCCCAAATCTGCTGTACATTTTTCTGTTGTATTTATTGAGTTGGTGTTTTTGACATTCAGTTATGGGGTCGGTGGGTAACATTCCTAGTCCTAAAGCACCAAACCTCCCTGAGGTCGTAGAAGCTGCCTGGGAGAGAGGTTTGCATTGGCTACTGAGGATTTATGAAAATTCCAGAGCATTAGTCTCATATCATTGTCATCCCTCCCTTCCTCTAGGGAATTGAAGGACTGGTTGAATGTTATATGAAAAGAGGCTGGGCCTGTAAACCAGGCACTGGCTTGTCTCCAGCAGCCATATCTTCTTGCTCTAGGGCTAGCCAGGAAAAACAACAATCCAGGGCAGACTGAGTAGACCCAGTGTAGGAAAAATGGTGTTTCCACTTTGTTTATTTTTTCTTTCCTTTTTTTTCTTTTTTTAAGCCTTTTTTTTTTTTTTCTCCCAGAAAGGAAGGGAGAGGGAGAGAGAAACATCAATGATGAGAGGGAATCATTGATTGGTTGCCTCCTGCACACCCCTTACAGGGGAATGATCCCACAACCCGGGCTTGTGCCCTTGGCTGGAATCAAACCCAGGACCCTTCAGTCCGCCGGCTGACACTCTGTCTACTGAGCTGAACCGGCTAGGGCAACTTTGTTTGCTTTTGATGATTCTACACCTCCCCATGAACCTCAAATAAGGAGGAAACTTAATAGTGACTCCAAGACTCAAATCTCAGAGTGAATTTCCTTGCATCTAGCAAGAATGAGCAGTCAGATTTATCATCCATGTGAAAATGTAGAGTGAGGCCTCTGACTAGCTGATTGTGTATTTTGCTGGAATCAGTATTTTTTGAATGTTTACAAAAGATTGGGCTGCATGTTCAGGTTGCGGCTAGAGGGAGCTTGGGCAGATTTTCAATTATGCTTTCAAGCTGTAACCAAAGGGTGTTTCTAAATCCAAAAATTAGAATTTTAACAGAGCCCCCTTTAAAACTGTCATGTAATGCTTGTTGTAGGCCAACAGAGGGGCTGTGTACTTTCTCTAAAAACATAAACTCCAAATAATTCGTAATATGCAGTAATGAGCAAAATTAAAATAAGAGCTGTTGGAATTTAGCTTTCAAAAGTGGTAAGTTGGATAGGTTAACAAGACATACTGTTACATGATGAGTTTGTTTTCTGCTTTATAATTAGCCAAAGTTCAAATTATCACATTTCAGAATTTTTTTAGCCAGCCTATGGGTAGGCCTCATCCCCTTTGACCTAAATGTCTTACAAGTTACTTGTTAGCACACCAACTGTATCGCTAATCACCATCCATTGTTGTGGGATGTGCTGCAGCATTCCCAAAGAACCTTACCTGTAACTTTGCAAAATGAATGTACTTAAGACATTCTCAATTTTTGGCAGACCGACTGTAAGTCCTCTTTGGACTTACCAGATATCTCAGATATCTTAGAGCAACAGTGGGAATGTAAAACATAACCTAATTCCCTTTCCTATAGAGATTCTATTTTATTTAAAATCTATTTTTACACTAGTTAGAATCCTGCTTTTTTGGCCAAGTACTTGTCTTGCATGTCTGACCTTGCAGAAGCTGGGGTGGATTGTAGCATACTAATGAAGAGAATTACAAGTGCTTTACAAAGCTTGCACACTCCTCATTTCTCTGTGATCACCTCTATCAAGCAGCTCTACCACCAGCTGGGAAAATGTAGATTTTCTGCATAGGTGGGATAAATGTTCTGGAAGCCTGTTCCCAGAGAAATGAGCAAATGGGCAAATGTTTCCAAACTACTTGAAGGTTTCTAAAAAATGTTGCAGAAAATAAAAATCTTATTAAGATATGGAAAGAAAATGTTTTTTAAAAACCTGTTAAAGAGTTATGTTTGAATTTGACAAAATTACATAAGATAGACACTGTCAGTGTTTTCTTCAGGGTGGAAATGAACCACTTAACATACCCATACTATCTTGAACAATGACATTGCATTAAAGTAACCAAACTTTGAAATGATTCTGTTTCATGTGAAATTTGTGTGTCTCCTATTGACATTTGCTTGGGAGTTTATATCTAAATAATGTAAGAAAGTGTCAGTGGCCTGGATTTCAATCTTGCAACAATGTAGTGAGCAGCTAGATTATATTCATTTTTCTGCCTCTTTGCTCCCAACTTTCCTAACAATAAGTACCTGAACAGATACAGGATAGGAAAAATTATTTTAATTTGGAGGCTCGAGGTAGAAGACCCAGGCACAACTCTTGCAAACCAAAAGCAATGAATTTATACACCTAAGACTTTTTCCTAGGCCCGACACCATGCTGAGATTGTTTTATTTTTGGAAACTGTCACAAAATGTGACTTCCTAAGGATACACAGAGGCAGACCCCCTCCTTGCTTGCATAGTGAAAGTGTCCTCATCAAAAGGGCTGAGGAACTCCTACCTAAATAGCCAGCCAGCTGAGTGTGGAGAATTTGGCAGATCACAAATGAACGACCGTCTGTCATCACTTGGAAACCCCTCTCCTAGTGTAGTTGGGATCCACAAGCTACAAATACTACCCTTGAGATTTGGCTGCTTTATACCTGATGCCACATTGCTTGTGATGAAGTCCATGGGCTGATCTAAAATAGGAAAGCCACTCACAGCATTTGAGGGAAGTTATTTCATTTTCTCCAGGATAAAACTGAATTAACTGTTGAGGTGATTCTGCTATGGTACTTCTTTCTTGGCAGCAGAAGGGCATTTTTCAGGAGTCTCCAGCCCTGACTCCTGCTCCTTCATGGCGCCGAGGGACAATTAAGCCACTCAAAGACATCACCTTTGGCGAGTTCAGGAAGCCACCAAGTAAGTGTTCCCTGGCAGGCCTCCGCGCTGGCCAGACTTCATTCTTGCCTGCGAAAAATTCTGAAACGGGAATCCCAGAATATCTACCTAGTGGCCTCACCAGCAGATGGAGCTTTTAAAGTTAAATGCTTAAATGACAAGAAAGAGCGAAGTGGTAATAGGGAGAAAAGCCTTTCCCTTCAGGAACCCCGAGTTTTACCCCAGAGCCAAAGCCAAGTGTGTCCTCTGAAGTTGATTTCCCCCCAAACACTGTACTGCGGTCAGCTTGGAGCGAATGGAAAGCCAGTCTTTGGATTTGGGTTTTTGGGGACTTCAGGGGAACTTAATAGGGCTTCTTTTATTTTTTAATCTTTATGGGAAGGGTTGTGGCCTGTTTATTCTGGCTAATCTCATAATCTATTCCTTTACCTGCTCTTTTCATTTTTTTAAATTAATGGTAACCCTTTACCACTTAATGCTAACCTTACTTTGCATGCCTGAAACTTCACGCCCACCCCGGAATGCTCAGACACTTATCAATAATGGGTTCCATCAAACATTAATTTTGAAAGCTGTCGTTCCAGGAGCCAAAACTATTTCAGAGTCATTTTCTCTAGTACACTTTTGGAGCAGCCTCTCACTGTAATTCGGAAGCTTAGGAGAGCATGAAAGGGGCACTGCATTGGTTCTTAATCTGGATTTTGCATTCTTGCTGTGGTAAAGAAGGCCAGGGAGAGATGAACAATCTGTTGTTTTACACAACATGACTGTGGTCCTTGGGGCCTAATGTTGAATTGTTTCGGGTCAGAAACTTCTCACTGGATTCATCTGGAAAATGTGGTTTGGTACTTGGCACGGGGCTGCGCTGGTGCAGATAACATGCCTTACTCCAAGGCTAATTACCAAGCGCACTAAGTGAACTAAAGCCGTTTTGCTCTTTTGCAGACCAAGTTCTAAATCCCCTGACCTGAGACTCCTTTCAGATTCAGTCTCTCAAAATAAATGCAGAGAGGTTTGTCCAGTGGGTGAAGCCAATCAAAGTGTGAAATCACCTGCAAGGTCTTGGAGCATGAAGGTTTATGATACCCAGGATAAATCTACCCTAGCACATGACTGATGGTGCAGTTCTTTCCAAAAGATAACCCTATAGCACTGCACATAAATGTTGAATAGGAAAAACAGTTCTGACTTGGCCTCCACATTTTTTGTTTTGTTTTTTAAATATATTTTTATTGATTTCAGAGAGGGGGAGAGAAACATCAATGATGAGAGAGGATCATTGATCAGTTGCCTTCTGCACACCCCCTACTGGGGACTGAGCCCTGACCGGGACTCGAATCCTGACCTGGTTCATAGGTCAATGCTCAACCACTGAGCCACACCAGCTGGGCAGCCTCCATGTTTTTTGCCATCTTTGGCTGCAAGAAACAGCAGGTCCCAGAACAAATCTCCTCATTTAAAAAGGAAGAGCCCACCGAGATCCCCCTCTCCAGCTGTATCAATTCCTGATTGTAAATTCTCAATCCCTGGGTTGTGGCCCAATGAGCCAAAAGTTCAGATCTTCCCTAGGGGGTTGGGAGAAGGTGAATGCCATTAAAACAGTGGTTCTCAACCTTCCTAATGTCGCGACCCTTTAATACAGTTCATGTTGTGGTGACCCCCAATTTCATTGTTACAAATTGAACATAATTAAAGCATAGTGATTAATCACAAAAACAGTATGTAATTATATATGTGTTTTCCGATGGTCTTAGGCGACCCCTGTGAAAGGGTCGTTCGACCCCGAAAGGGGTCGCAACCCACAGGTTGAGAACCGCTGCCATTAAAAGAACGAGTTGTTTCCGCCACTCGAGAAAACTTTCCTGTATCACTTGACATCATTAATATAATTATACTTAGCACCAAAAGACTTTGGGTGCTAACTAAAAAGAAGAAGCCCAAACTAATTTCTGGGCAGAAAGAACCGATCACTGAGAAAGACCTGGAAGAGAAGAAGAGTAAGCGGAAAATTTTAGGA